CTCGCCAAGACTTTCGTCATGTGCCAAATTTGCCATGTCTCAAGATTTCCTTAATAGTACGATGGCTTCAGAGCGCCACCATTGTCCCACTCATGTAAAATCGCTGCACATACCCAATTCCAACCCGAGAGTAAAAAATCCATCTTTGCAAGAATCAATTCACCACAATACGCTCGCAAACCCGCCTCAAGAACTCTCAATGCGGTTAATCGAATTGCACTGTCGCCTCATAGCCGCTTCCTCTAGTTTGAGCTTCCGCACCACAATTCTTGGCGATTCTCAATAGTGTGATCGCGAAATGTGGGAGACGGACTCGCACCCTCTCGGGTGTAACTCGCCGTCGCAACTGTAGAATCGACTCGTGCGAATTGAAGGTGCCGCCATTCAAATTTCTTTCTAGTGCCGCGCCATCATTTACTCCACTGGGGATCCTTCGTCAAAAGCGCTTTGTAGGTAACTCTGAAGTCATCACCGCAGAATACCGAATACCCTCTTCCGAAGGCTGATCTAGGTCTTCGGAGAACTTGAGTTTTCGTCCCTTCCTTCCGGAACTCGAGTCCCACAGGTTCGTTCCTTTGGATTTGGACCTCATCGGCCTCAACAAGTCAAGCTCTTCTTAGGTCAATCCTTTGTACTTCCTACTCCTACTTAGCATATACACTAAAAGTTCTTATTCTCTTCTCTTCTAACTACTGCTATCTCAAAAGTTAAAACTATGTGGATTTTACTTCCTAACTACCTTAAATCTGAAAATGAAAAAACTGCACTACCACATTTCCTTTACGTGTATATTTACACATAAAAATAGCTGTCGTTATGGTTTAGTCATAATAGGTTTGTATGTTGGGAGTGGTTAGTTATCCATCACTTGGGGCTAATTAGCCTCACCCTAGTATACGGACTTGAATCATTGGACGGATGGGGCTAAAGGGTCTGTATGGGAAAAGGTGAACTTCACGACTACACTTCTTTCTAATAGACACCAAAGATGCCAGAGTGTCACTAGTCACGTAAGAAGTTGATTGCCACCTCAACGATCTAAAAGTCACGTCAAGGTTCTTGGAAGCAAAAACGGGCTCGTGGGTGTGATGCAATGCGTCTCAATGCAAATGCGTCGAATAATTCAATGACTACACTGAACCTTTTGTTATGCTGTACTGCACATGCTTTTTGTCCCAGTTTGATGGAATAACTCAATGATATAGATACTAAATCGAGCATTGTTCATGACACAAAAATGGATTTTCCACAAAAGTACGTCCGGAAAAATCCAATCCTACCGCACTCGCATTGAACACCAACTAATACTAACACCAGTTGTGACTTCACCAAAAATTCGCACCCACCAACCCGGTTTTGTAATCCCTCCGAACCTTGACGTGACTTTTAGATCTCGGATGTGGCAATCAGCTTCTTACTTGGCAGATGACACCATGGAACCTTTGGAGTCCATTAGAAAGAAGTTTACTCGTGAAATTCAACTTTTCTCACACGGATCCTATAGCCCCATCTGCCCAATGACTGAAGTCCGTATACTAGAGTGAGGGCTAGTTAGACCCATGTGAGGGATAACTAGCCCCTCCCTTGTATGTTAGTGGGTATTGCATATATCGACAGCATGCAATCTCCTCGCTCAAATGAGGTTTTCGAATGGTTGGCTCTCGTGTGTTTGTTTTCTACAATCTGCACATCTGACTTCTGTCGAAATGTGTAGCCGCTCGCCTGATTTTGAAGCACCAGCTGTGCAAAAGTCCCAGGCCAAATCCTGATATCAAGACTATCTTCATCGACCACACATGAGGCTCTCCGAATGACCCTAAACCCTCCACCACTTGCCAACTGTTCCACATGTTGGCACTTTGGCGAAGAGATGAACACTGAGCAGAAGGTTGATTTTCTCCAAACAGCAAATGACTACAACACAACACAAAGAGGGGACCCGAGACTTCCTCCTCTTGAGTATGTTCATACCTGCCAACCATTTCGCAATTCCAGCAGATGCTAACAACTTCTTCAACAATATATATATTATAAAAATTTTGAAACGAAATTGTGCCCAAGGATAGAAACAATAACTTGACATTTCGTACCAATAGACTACGAGAGATAAGAGACGTCGTTGAAAGTCTACGCCTCATCGGATGATGACGTGTCGTTTACTGTGGTCAAGCCATTTACCTGCTTACGGCTACTATTTGAGATGATACCGAGAGGGTCAAAGTGCTGAGCCCTTTCAACGGTGTCAAAAGGGATACCATTAAACCCAGTCTGCTATGTCACTGCAATGGGAAGAAATACCATATCGAGGATGAGATGGAGAATCTATGGAGCCGTTTCTTCTGATTTTCAGGTAATGTTTGCCCCATTACTAACATTGGTTTCTTTGTTGGCAACGGTTCGCTGTATCCGATAACAGGAGGAACACATTCCAAGTGAGGCACATGAGGCTAGCGGCAACAAATTTCGACAAAAGGCAGATGTGGGGATTGTAGAAAACAAACACACGAGAGTCAACCATTCGAAAACATCATTCAGCGCGTGGAAATTGCATGGTGTCCATGTATGCAATACCCAGGAAAAAAATTCTTTTGCCTGAACCATAACGTCACGTGTTTTTAGGTGTGATTTACACGTAAAAGCAAGTACTCTCTTTGGCCATAACGTGGACTTGTTTTAAGTTTGAAGTGCTTGCCATTTTTGTGAGGATGGAAGGATGAAGGAAGTTTCTCTTGAGGCATGTTCTTCATAGGGCTGTTGTTCCCTTGGAGCTCCTCGATGCTGCAGAATTTTTGTCCATTACACATCTGCCACTCGAAGAATATTTCAGTCTCGGAAGATTAACTTTTCACGTATGCATATGAGGAAATCATCTTCGAAGATGATTCCCTTTTTACTTTCCTATTTGTTTGTTGGAGATATTTCCTTTCACTCCAGAGGACATCGACGACTTCTTCTTCTGATTTCTTCTTGTGCGTGTTGGTTAGGACAAGAGAGTAAAAGAGGAGAAGAAAAGTCTTCAGGAGAAGATCCTACAGGTTTGTCAACTCCTGATCAGGGCTCTGCCATTTCGTTTACTGGCCCTTTCAAAATCACTCTACGATTCATCTGAGTAATTCTCTGGCAAGTGCAGGTGAATCGGGAATGTCTGCCCAGCCGGTCGCTGTTCGTGCTATCTTCTAGAATGTCGATGAATCGTACTCCCATTGGTATGCTCATGATTCGAGCATAATCCATGAGACTTTTTCTCTCTTGATCGTCACCTTCTTGGAGTTCGATTCAACACTTTTTCCAGAAACACCCACAAAGCCAAAAAGCCTCCCTTTATTCGTCAAGATTTGCAAATATTTTTGGTCAGCAAAAGCTCTATAAAACGGTGCCCACACTATGCACATGACCTTAGCTAGGAAAAACTACATCCAGAGACCTGCACCTTCAGAAAGACTGCCCGTGTTCCATACAAAAGTTGCTCAGTTGCTAAACAAAAAATGGAATTTCCCATTATTCCTGTATGATATATACTTCGATATGTTTGAGATCTCCTAACAAGCAGAGACGACGAGTAATTCAAACCAAGCTTCGAAGTGTCCTGAAATAAGTGGAGCAGTATTGCACCAATATTTGCTCTCATTTACTCTTAAGCATATCGTACTGCGATGGGGAGGCAGATCGGTGCAGAGATGAACCACGAGCGGCATCTTTGGCCGGTGAGCGAAGTATTATGTCACTCGCTGCTGAAAGTGGCCCAGAAGTTTTAAATCTCTAGTACTGTACTACAGTACCAAATCTCATTCATGCCAGAAAGGTTGTGTCACGTGGCCGTTGAGCTCTGCACCAGTACAGCAATATCTAAACGGTCGACCCTGCTCGAGAATCATTGCTTATTCGGTTCCGGTTTTCCCATTGGGGGATTCGAGAGTGTGACAGTCGGTGCCCTTTCCATGTAATCATCGCAGGGTCGCTCTACAAAACCTCTTGTCTTCCGATATAACTTCCTAATCGCTAGACGTAGCCAACAAGCCAAGGAGCTATGATCTCCCTTCCCATCCAACATCCACGCATCCCAGAGGGTCATGCAGGATCCTATACTACTACTGATCGGGCATTTGCAAAACGTCGTTAGTGCGATGAAAGGAGTTGGACGACTGAATCAAAGAGAAAAAGATTCGATTCTCAAATTGCAATCGGATGCAAAACCGCTCGAAACCATAACCGTCAACAGTCCAGGGAGGGAGGGAGGAAGGAAACAGAACCACAAGACCCGGGCAACAATTACGATGGGTCCCAACATCTGGAACGAAATAAAATTCCGCTCTGCTCAATCTGGAGTTAGGACAGCCTCGACGAGATCCTGGTGGAATCTATCGGTGGGGCTGCATCGATCCAGGTGGGAGCTGTTTGTGCTACAGCTGACCAGCACCAGCGTGGCCATGAAGTAACGGTATCCACGAAGTATAGCGATTTCATGCTGGCGAAGAACAGCAAGAGAACAAAAGAATTCCGTGAACGCTAACAGTGGTTGAAGCTTTTGGCTCAGTCATAAGTTCTTTGATCATATGGTGCACAAAAAGGGCCCGTGACACTCACTGGCGCACATGGTAACACAGACGGCAATAAGTTACATTGAAATACCGCCAGGTAGCTAATTGTACAAACGAGTAAGACTAGGGGTCACCCACTTTAATAAGCCCCTCGACTTGGTATACAAGAAAAAGTCCAGGCCTAACTTCTCTTGCTGTCCAAACCGAAGCTAGAAGCTCTGTCATGCCTGTTCAACGCTACTGATAGCCAGCAAGAGCATATATACAACCAGATGGACCGCGAACAGAAGCAGACGTGGGGAATTGTCCCTCCCCAAATTCTGGCCTTCCTGACTAACTTCCACAATGGAAAGCCGGTCAGATAAAGTCCACCAGATCAACATCCATCCCTGGGAACGAACTTGCACACTGGAGAGATTAGCGAGGTTCGTTCTGAGGCCCACCATATGATAGAATCCCACACAAAATGGAGCTCTGGAACCAGTGTCAGATTCTTCTAAGTAAGGACCCTAGACGTGACCAAGAGCATCCCAACCCTAGACCGAAGGTAAACCGGCGGCAGCCAAAACCCGCCATGAGGTCGGTCGCCTGAAAGCCGAGCGAGGAGCTCCGAGAAACTTGGCAGGCGCAAGGCATCGTGCGCCTCAGAAAGGCAGAGCTCGGAGGGACATGGAAGCCAATTACGAAGGTCAAGCGGGCAGGAAGCCTGGAAAGCCGCGAGTCCAGCTAGAGAAAGTCAAAACGAGCTCGACCCTCCCTCATGTCCAGACAGTGACATCGATCGCGCGCTCACTCGTGTTGGAGTTGGCTTTACTGGCTGCCTCCAGAGACAGAGAAAGTGTGAGTGAGTGAGTACTTGGGGCTCGAGCGAAGTCGTGATGGAAGCATATGACCCCCAGCCCCGCCTCGCCTCGTCCCTCCTGCTCATCTGGCCCAACTGGAAGGCAAGCTCCGACAGCGAAGCGAGGTCGAAAGCACATCCTGGAAGTTGCTGCTGCTGCTGCAGGAAATCCCGGACTCTACCGGCTTGACCGAATTCCAGCGAGCTGCCTGCCTTTGTAGCCAGGACGGATCCAGATAGGGGAAGAGGCGAGCGAGAGCCAGAGTGTTTCGGGGGCTGGACATCATTTTGGGGACTTATGTGCAGCGCTTTTGAGACCGAGCACTCCCATTTAGAATCCGGAGTGGTGTGAGCGTCGTCGGAGCTCTGATAAGAGCGCCTGCTGTTCTTCAGACGAAGGCTGCTGCTGCTGCTGCTGCTGCAATTTGGTGGGTCGAGACTTTCACCTTGAGATTCGAGGTGAGTTCTTACTAACTGCCTGGATTGGCCCGTGGCTCGTGTTTCGAGCAGAATTTGGACTTGTTTCCTCGCTATGGTCAGCTGTCGTTGGACTGGCGTGTGTCAACCCCATTCCCCTGCTCGATCGTCAACTCCTCCCTCACTCGAGACGTGCTCGACTGAGATACATTTGAATTACGATGTCATGTGCACTTGCAATCATGGGTCCGACCTGGAACGAGGCTTTTACCATTCTTCGTTAAAGAATGCCGAGGACCCGGATTGAGATCGTGAGCAGAGTTCGGGGGGCAAATGTGCGAGCGTTTTGAGGATTGCAAGATTTCATCGTTGTCTTGGTCTTGCAGAAAGCAATCGCGGGCATACGAAAAGCAGTTGCGTCACGCCGAGACACACTGGGGTCGGGGATTGCGCTCGTGATCACGGAACCAGGATTATCGACGGGACGCTGACAGACATTAGTTACGCACTATACGACGTTCGGATAGCTCAAGGAATTATCATTCGCCGACAAGCACAGGCCACGGAGTAGGAAACAAAATAGAATGGAGGCTGCTGCCAGTGCTGCCGCCCGACAGGCTCAGTGCTGACAGGAGCTGCAAGGACTCATCGCAACCGGGAGCTCTTCTTCCTGCTCCTGCTCCTTGTGTCGTCAGGTGTACAGGCCGGAACGCAACGCCCGCAGCAGTGGAGGAGTTGTGGAGGTTGATTTCGTTCAGAGAGTAGTTGTAGAAGATAGTTCAGGAAGGGGGCGGAATTCGTCAGCTCAAGAAGGTGCAGGACAGGAGGAGGAGTGATTCGTCAAGATGGTGGTCCTGATTCCCGAGCCCAAGACCAACTACAAGGCCATCTTCTTCCGCCATGGAGTGCTGATCGACGAGCTGCGCAACCTTCGTCGTCATCACACGTCGACGGTGAACCAGCTGGTGCACATCGTGAGCATGAGCTTCGCGTTCGCGTTTTTCGCATCGACGCTGGTCATTTTGGGAATGATGTTCACGCTGCCGGACCCGATCCTCATCCCGCTGGTGATCCTGTTCTTCCCTCTGCCATATCTGGCCTTCTTCTGGTACCTGGATCCCGTCGTCTTCTTCTTCTGGCTGCCGCTCATGGGCCTGGCAGTGGCCGGGTCCTTCCCCATTGCCCAGCTGCTTCTCGGCGTCATGCCCATGTACGCCGCCATCGCCTGCACCTTCGGAGCGTCGCTGCTCTCGCTGTTCCCGCAGCTGATCGGCCACTACTTCTTCGAGAAGATCGGCATTCCGGCCTTCGAGATGTTCGAGCTGCTGCTCATGACGCCCTTCTTCTTGGGCTACTGCGGCGTGGGCTGGATCACTTGCTGGAAAGTGCGGAAAGATCTGTGCGATAAAATCTGGAGCGACGGCCCATAGATTGTAGTAGAATTGATCAATTGATCCGAGACAAAAATTGATGGCTCTTCTTCTCAGCCCTGTTTATTCGTTGTAATATTACTCGTCAAACATCGAATGTTTGATTACCGTGCTCCACGTAGATAGATAGATTAGGCACACAGACAAATCTGTCAGTAACATCCTTCGTTGCTCACGAGAGCTCGTGTCCATGCTAGTTAGGAACACTCCGTCATAAGGACCAGCGGCCGGAGCGTCAGAGCGAAGGGGAACTCTGCCCTCGTCCGGGCCACTGAGACTGCAGCGGAAGCGTCGATCCATTAGTGGCAGAATTCATCGTGTCCTCGCTGCAGTGGTCGTCGGAGACAGGGACAGGGTTCAGATAGGATGAATTCTTTTGGGTTCGAATAAAAAATTCCACCGATCTGCAGCGAATCGATTGATCGTTCGAGACCTGGCCGGCCGACCGATGGCCCCCGAGACCTTCTGTCCGGAGCCTGCCTGGTCCAGCGCCGTCCAAATTCGCAAGATTTGGATTGCTCCGAGGATGCCTCCGCTGACGAAACGTCAGGGGGCCGGGCCGGGCCGGTCTTGTTGTATGCACACACGATATCAAGTAAAGCAGTGCTACCAGATCTGTGAATGCCTCGTGCAAGTTGTGTCTTCTCGCTGTTTTTGTAGCTGCCATCATTCCAAAATGTGTGTGTGCTTGTATATATATAAGAGAGAGAGAGAGAGAGAGAGAGAGAGAGAGAGACTTTAAATTTTGAGGTCTTTGCAAACTCGTGTTTTTCTGGTTATTGTTCAGAAGAACCTTGTGAGTGTTCCCCTCGGGATCTCGAAATCTGAAATGTGAGGAGTTTCGTTCGGCCCAGCAAGAGTGACACGGATCTCCAAGGGCTTGAAGAAGTGCAGAGCAGCAGTTTCTCTCGATGGACGTGGTTTCTGAATCGGGTTTCTGACAGCGTTGCTATTTCCGGTTCATGCAGTCGGAGGGTAGAAAACGCTTTCGCAGATCGAACATTATGACCTTGCAGTCGAAGTGACAGGAGAGCTTTTATGGAATCACTCCAGTTTCAGCGGTCTGCGTCCAATCTGGGATACTAACCAATAATGGGAAGTGAAAACGGAGCCCCATGAGATAAATCACCAGTCTCTCTCTCTTTGAAGAACTGTCAGAAAGTCAACACCAAGAAAAAGTCGAAGAATATTATTTTGAAGCGAGAAAGTGAGTATCACATCATTGAGGTTGATTATTTTGTTGTATGAGTTCCATACATCGTTGTTCGATTTTTTTTTCTATATTAACCCAAATCTCGAGGATCAAAGAGATGGAATCCAGCATGTATAGATTCGAACATGTGAGTTTCCACTAAACGTACATCGAAGAGAACTAAGAATCATTTCTGATGTGTAAGATATGCAAGCACTATTTTTTGATAGAAGCATTGTCATTTAAAACTCGTACGTAGATATGTATGATTATATATGACTACAAGACCTATCAGTGCCCTACAGTTAAAAAGTTGTATGATTTATGTGAGTCAGACTGTATAACTCTTGTGTCTAGAGTGATTACATATGATTCATATGTAATCACTCTAGATACAAGAAGTGGTCAGGTCAGTGCCCATGGGAAGGTTAAAATATACAGTAATCCATCATGACACTAGTCTTGTAGTGTTTTGGATTAACTTGAAAATGAATATCTCAGGTACAAGGAACATTGAAATGCATTGCAGTCATCTATGTTTGATTGAAATTTATATTTGGTTGGATATTACGAAGTGACGGACGTAGACGTGTTATCTGTCTCGCCCGTGGTAGAGTTTCGAAGTCAATGATTACACATCATACTAGATAAGAGACAAGTGTGGTGTCAATAGATAGAGATATCTGTTTGTTTGATTTCAAATATAGACTTAATTCTGAAAATGTATTTATTAGGTATAAGTGCTAGGTGGATCAATACATATAATAAAAATATTCAATATTTTACAAAGAAATCTAGCTAATCAAGGTGATATCAAATCTTATAATCTTTTGCAAAATATTTAATATTGTAAGTTGAAATAGTCTTACGAATTAATTATGATTATTATGATTTCTAGGTTTAAACCATGATTTTATGATTACGGCTTGATGATTCTTTGTAACTTTTTTGGATCGACTTGGGTACATCTTGAATAAGTATTCTATCGTACATCGTACCAATGTTCATCCAAACTAGCACCCAAAACACCTATTAACACTAATAATAATATTGGTAACCAGGGTATATATCGAAAAACGTTGGGTTGGACTAAGTCAGTAGAAACAGAGAATCACAGTCAACGGTTGGCAGTTCCATGAACGACAAACGCAGTAGATGCAGCAGGTGAGAGAAGTTGGGTGACGACGTATATGATTCCCGTGGGCCCTGCTATTCGACCGGCAAACTCCGGTGTCAGCCGGTCGGGTTCAATTGTGGAGCTCCACAAACGAAAGGACCGGTGCCGTCGACCGCATCTTGAGAGCAGTGCAGTAAACCCTTGGACGGGCAGCGACAGTCTCCTTCGAAAATTGGGAGGCTCTCCCGGCGCGGCAGATTTCCCAGCCACAACGGTCCAGTGCAGGTCCTTACGAGGTTACCGTTCCGAGCAGAAGTTAGGCCGGGGGGAAGTCATCTCTCCCTTCCCATGACGGTGCCGTAGCTTTGCTGTGCCAGGCGTGTCATGATTCCGTAAGCCGCTCACATTTTGACATCGTCTGACAATTGGATAATTAAATATAATTAATGTGCCTCCCTATATCTTCGATGGAAGTCACTTGACTTTACAGTGCACCTTGTTCGAGGAGGAGACCCATGCTCCCCTTTGAATGCAAAGGCGTATGTATGTTATATATTCAGAATACCGATATAGGGTTTCTATAACAGACCACCTTGTTTGTTGGATACTGTTTTCTTTTCCAGAAGTGTCGTTACTTCCATGCAAAATGCAGAAAGATGTGAAAATCTATTCTATACGTACTGCAAACTAGACTTCAACATATCGATCATTCTTACTATTATATCGATATCTTTTAACGTTTACACGAATAAACACATGTGAGGTGTAGAGTTTACAAAATTTTCCGGACTGAAATCTCGACAAAAAAACATCACATCGTTGCAAAGAAACAAAAAAAATTCAAGAATCAAGGTTGCTTGAATGTTTTAAGCGGAAAATATATTGCGTGATAAATCATATAATTTAAAAGGAGGAAAAATATCTTATCTCACAAAGATGAAGCATATACATGCAGGAAAAATCATGAAAGTAATAAAATATGTTTAAACGTAAGTTCATATTAAATTTCTTACTTTGTCTTATCCATGATATTAAATATTACATATGACCAAAAATTGATAAAAAGAAATCCACAGATTACTGATAGTTAAGTACAGCTGAATGTGCAAATCAATTGCAGCTTATAATGTGAATTACTCCAGATATCAAAATATATTTGAGTAGAAAGTAATATTCTTACATTTTAACGGATATCCTTATCTTCATATTTACCAACCACTTGAAACCGTAAGCCCATTTGTTCTTTGTACCATAAATATCTTACGCATAGTGATTTTTTTCCCTGATAATCTAAACTTTGAATAAAATAAAGGAGGATTGTAATAATGACACAGGAATAAAGGAATAATATGCTTCAATTTTTAGTGCAGAAAATTAATCAATAAAGTTCTTTATTCATATTGTAGATGTTTTCTTTAAAGATTGATATGACTGTTAGGAATATGAGATAACAATATGTGCATTTCTGTCGAAAGATGTATTGAAGATTTGAACAAAAATTTTTATTCTGTGACTATAGAATTAGTTGAACATGTGGGCCGGTAATAAATATCAGTGAATTTTCTTCAATAAGAATATGGAAATAATATTTCACGACACGGATCATAAGAATCTTTGTACTTGTTTCTTCTAGTTTATTCTACTTGTCCAACATAGATAGCCAATACTAGGGAAAGATCCACACTATTTGAATCCAAAAATCAGTGTTATTTGAATAGTCATTCAAAAGAGTAAGCACGAAGGCACGATACAAATTTGAACAAGTTAATTAGTCGGGATAACAGAAAAATGAGCCACTCGAATTGGATCATGATTATCACAGTCTAGCTACTGATTTTGAAAGTATAAATGGTAAATGGTAAAAAGAACTGAATGTAATACAAGAATAGAAAACAGACTAAAATAAAATGCGTCGAAAACTGACAAAATCAACACGAGAAACCGAGGCCACAAAGGCCAAAGGAACCCACCGGCGCCCGAGAAGCAACGTAGAGAAATAAGTCTAACTGCGGGCTTTAATACTTTCACCACTTTAAAGAGTAAGGTCCCCGACGCTGCCTGCTATGTTAGCGACTGGCGTGGGACAGCGATTGCCGGTTAGTCTCGTCGTCGTTCCCGCAGGCACGGACGAGCCGGGCGGGCCGTGCGGTTCGTCGGTTCCTCCGCCCGTACAGGCAAGCGGGCAGCCCATCGTCCCGCGATCTCGTGCACCGGACAGTACAGTACTGTACGCTGCTCCCAGAGTACGCACGATGTGGAGTGTCATAATTTTACGCCGTACGCGTCCGGTGCGTACGCAGTATCAGTGATCCGTATACGATTCTGTACGCAGTACAGAATCGGAACACGTCCTGCCCACTGTAAAGAGCGAACATCTGAGTTCGCGAGGAAGGAGCTGGGAGAAAGCTCAGTGCTCAGCTGGTCGTCGGGGCCCGACACGCTCCGATCGATGAGATTTAGTTTCAGAGGGGACCGGCTGTGGGACCACGGAGATGAGAAACGATGTACGGGATGGTCTGCTCGAGATGACTTGGCTGACCTGCACAATCCATTCGAGAGGACCAAGAAGTCTCGAGTCAAAGCTTGATTTCTCGGCGTCCTTTTGATGAGCGTTTTGTCTGTTTACTCCTGAAACCATATGTTGACTGTGAACGACGAGGACATTACCTGCTTTCGATTCGACTTCGGTTTTGGATTCTGTATTTCTGCTACGGTTTGGTTTCTGAGTGGCCGATCCATGTACGTGGCGGCAGATCTGTGTCACTTCATGTGTTCGTTGATAGACCCGCTGTCCGACTCGAGGAATTTCTTACTAATTAGCTCACGGAGAGTCAGAGGTTTGAAGATAGCAGTGCAATAAGAGATCAAAGTGGAATTTCTATCTAATAATCGATAGCATTGGAACGATGAAACTGCAGGATTTGAGTTTATATATCCGAGCACTGCACAAGTTTAAGTTGGAGTAGATCACAAACAGATCAGTTCTCCGTACATCTCACTGCATCATTCAATCTCAAACTACATTCTTAAACTTCATTCACAGTCCGACCAATGTCTCGTAATAAGTCAACACTCCAGCGAGGACACGAACGTTCATCGAAACACAATGATGGTCTCAGATGGTCTCTCTGGGAGGAAAAAGTTGAGAGAACATATTGCACAACTCTCTCCTTTGCAGAATATCAGCCAGGCCAGTATTGTACTACAGTCTTGCACACTCTGTTCCAGACTCCAGCATTCTTGGGTGATTCAAGCCATGTGAAAATGATCAAACACGCTCAAGATCTCATGCTGTGAAGACAGTGTGCATCAAGTAGTCAGTAGAGCTCTAAAATAATCTTGTTCGCAGACAAGCTACGGTCGTCACTTGGTTATTACTTCTTATGGTCACTTCCCCGGGTTCTCCGATTACAAAAGCTTCCAAATGATCTATGTCCATCTTCGGGTCCATCAGTTCGTAAATCAATTATCATCGTGAAAACATATGAAGAAGTCAGAGGGTCTCCATGCCCGGATACATGCCTGCACTTCTCTCAGGTCTGATGTGATTCACTACAGGGCTTATCAGAAAGTTAAAATCCGAGCGGTCAATCAATTGCGTTTCTCAAGACCAGCAGAATTGAGGCCCATGCGAGTTCGACTCAAAGACTGGCCCGACTAGAAAAACAGGTAGATTCTAATCCCCAGGAGGAAAGGACTTTGGAAGTAAAGAAGTGGATCGATTGCTCGAGACATGTAGACCACATGCGCATGTGACCAATACAATTCACAAGTGACGATTCCCGTCGAGAACGAACGTGGAGAGTGTCGACGGTGAATAGAAGGACCTCATCAACTTTTATTGATCAGTCCTAAATATGGACTCGAAAGAAGTATGTACACTTTTGAGGAGGTGGCAGAGGAGCTCGTTCATGTAAACCTTCCGTTGGAAGATGGAGAGCAGAAGAGAAAGAGAAGGTCTCTGCCTTAGTACTTCAAGCGCTTGATATCTGTCCTCAAATGCTGTTTGACCAACAGCCTTGGACAATTTTGCTCAATTGTACGCTTCTCGCAGAGGAAAATCAAGCCGCGGGTGAATAAGAATCTTGCGTACAGCTCGCAGTGCTTGAGCCCCGTCTCAGCGGTGATCAGATTCATCGCTGCAGGACAGCAAAAAGCGTGGCGGTCTTCCCCGGCACAAGCTTGCAGATCATACAAAGCTGTCTTGTACACCTCTCTGACTGCGTCTCGGAGCTGCTCGTCTTCCCTCGAGGGCGACACTCTTCCTTCCGTTCTGGCGACTGTGCTCGAGAGCAACAACGTCGACAGTAATAGCACACTGAGTATGAATTCGGTGCGTCTGGCATCCATTGCAGGGGATATCCAATACCACGGAGAGATGTCACAGCACACAGCAGCAGCAGAAGCAGCCACTGACCGTGTCGAGCTGCAAATCAATCGACGGCCGACTTGTCGTTGAACGCTGCGGTTCGATGCACCAGACTGCAAACCAGCTCTCAGCGAGCTACGGCTTGTTTCGCCATGATCCAAATGATCTCACGATGCGATTACTCGAGACAACCAATCGCTTAGAACACGTCTTCTGCCAGGAGTTACATCAAACCCACGGTACGGTTCGAGCTTTCATTCTGATTTTCCGCACTGCCACGCTCGAGCAACTAATCTGATCTCCTGCAAATCGTCAGGGCAAAACTGAAAGCGGTGCGCGGTTCTGGTGGAGAGCCTCCCCTCCGTAAACCCTCTCGACACGGGTCCAAAGAATCGCCTCGTGATCATCTCCTAGAACAACTGAATGCTCGTGACTGAAATCTCCCTTCGTGTTGTGTTGGAGCTGCTGCCCTTGTCAGTTCCGCGACTCGCTTTGCGTGTCTAGGATTCGAACACCTTGAAGCTTGTCATGCCCCTCGTACCTACCGAAAAGGTCCTAGAGGAAATTATACAATACCTGCCATTATTTAAGTCTGGCCTCTATTTTTATCAGTGGAGAAAGCGACATGAGTTGAATTTCAGTGCATCATCAGTCTGAAGAGGTCGTCGACCTTCGACTACTTGGAGAAGTCGAGAATCTTATATTTCTATACTGTACATCGTAATCAGCGCAGTATGTCTGCTGAAGGTCTGACCCACGTGAGTTCGGCCGCATGAGGGCGACGACCTTGGACATTTCGGGTCTGATTCGAGGCCAACCCTTCTGCGTGCCTCCAGTTTCCCTCCCTGCCTCTCGAGGGTCGCCGGAGAGAAGTTTCAAACCGTGAGCGCACCGGGAGAAGCATGTGCCTGGGCATTAAATCCAGCTGAGCTGATGAAATCTGTGTTGCTGCGCGTTAATGCGCTAAAGCTTGCACTTTTTAATATCTGACACGCCCCACCTTTATGACGGCCAGTGGAGCTAGACCCGAGCTCTTCACCTCCGACTGAGACCCATGGAGGCAAGGCATCTAGCGATACGCGGATCTTTGAGCCCCAATGATGCGCAACACACATCCCCCGTGTACGTAGCTCGAGGTTCGAGCTTATGCATCGCCGCTCACTCGATGTGTGCTCTAGGCTCGGGACCAGATGTTACTACTGAGCTGCTTGAGTATCAGAGCCTATCCAGCAGTTCGTCTGAAGTTGGTTGGCGGCGAGGGCGATGTAATACTGAGGACGCGGCAAAAATCGGTGATTGGGTCTCGTCCATGAACAAGATTTGGGAGGACGGCATTCAATGCCATCTACCACAACCGAGTAGTCTTTAGGACAAAGCTGGCCTCGTCTTCTCGAGTGGTATGCCGTACGTTATCTTCTGATTCTCGTTACCATCGCTCGCATGACAGCACCACCGATGGCAGGCTTTCGTGGTCCTCGTGTCACAGAGTCTACGAATAGAAATCTGTGGCAGGTCGTTAGTGCGAGAATCACAGCGTCCTCTCTGATTCGAAAATTTTCAATCCCATGGAACTGGTTGTCACGCAGTTCCTCATGCATAAGTCGATGCCCGAGAGATCGAGCGGTGGCACGTGAAGTACTTCCACTGCTCGGGCCCGTCTCGCCTCTAGTGCTCGATCGAATTGCAACGACAGGGTGATGTCTTCTTGCTACCTCTGTACCGGAATATGGGCAAACCTGTCAATCACACTGCAGCAGCACATGGGCCATGAATCTGCTGCTCGCATAGTGCATGCCTGGTGGTGGTGCACTGTCCAGTGCTTCTTGTCGGCGGTGGAGACTGTTCAGTGTGACACTAACTGGTTTCTTGTTGTAAGCTCGAGAGGAAGAATCCTTGGCTGCGAATCTGATAAGCTCACTTGTTGGGAGCAGGCATTTTTTCAGTTTCCTTGTTGATTTCCCGAATTCCTCATCTCACTGCATGTAGATAGTCCAACGGAGCAACTGTCGCCCTGCTGTGCATTGGAGACCAGGTGCAACTGGACTACATCACTAGATCTAGGGACTGGACTAGCCTTGTTTAGAAACTCCTTCTTCCTAAAACTGGTGTCGTTGTCAGAATTCTGGAAAGAGGCACAAAGTGAAAGTAAAAGTGCAGACGAAAAGCTTGATAGGTTTGATCATCAAACCTATCAAGCTTTTTAACATATCAAACTTTGATATGTTAAGCCTTGAATTTGAAAGACTGTCAGCAGCAAGAGGGCCTGCACAACCGGGCTGAAAGAAATTCTCCACAGTGAGAAGCCGGCTGATTGACGAAACCGTGACTCTATCACATGATGACTAGACGTGGCACAATCGTGAGAACTCTAATGTGTCAAATTCGTCAAACTCGGTAGCCGAAGTTTGAAAGGGAGTACAATGATGGAGAAGGATGGCTGAAAAGCATTCCCCTAGTTGTCGACGAACGGTAGAGACACTAACAGTAGCGTGCCAGGACGGTGACGGCAGGAGATTTGACGTCGTCCGTTTCGAGTGCTGCACTTCTTGCGAGGTATTGATTTTGATCACATGTTGATATCAATTCCCATGGCAGAGCACGATGATCTGGGTGATACGTGGGCGGTAGAATCCCAGCACGTTACCAGTGTATTCTGGCCGAAAACTGAAGTCCAGCTTTTATGATGACATTTCAGTTCACGTCTTTTTATTCAATGACAACCAGCCTTTGACGATAAAGATGAGAAGGATTTAAATATTGTACAGATGGTCTTGGCAGGCTGGCAGACAGCTCTTGGTTAGCGTACCAATCATATGAATTTTAGAAAGAAATTCAGGTAGCAATTTTTGAACTCCTCACATATGTTTCGAAATCACCTAACTAACGAGAACCTTGAGTTGCTAATGGTTGCCAAACCTTTCAGTATAGTTTGTAACTCACACCATAGGTAACTGAGGTATAAGTTATTAACTAGATTTTACTCTGTTACCATTAACAGTCTACTGCTATTCATAGAGAGAAAGAGACTCCGATATTAACAAGTACATTACAGTCTCATTCGTTCCATTTTTATCGGTCTTGTGAGATCCATCATATTGCATATCAATATTGGAAGCAACAATGGCTGGTCTTACAAAAGTTCCTGCATCGAGTAATTCATTTCTAAGGTCTGCAAGTCTATTTCAGCAATTGCCCTGATATTTTTTAACAAGATCATCTGCTTTTGGAGGAATGTGGTGCCGAAAGGATGATGTATGTGCACACAGATCTTCGGAAATATTTGAACTCGCGAGGTCCAGTGCAAACTCATTTGACGCTTCACTCCATACGATCTACATTTGCATCGCACGCTTTTATTTAAAAGCTTTGCATTGCAGATAGAGCACTGGCCTGCACGACGGCAGGTTTACTGGATTTTCTAGTCAAAATGATGACATGTAATTTGCATAAGCTGAATTGGGGAGAAGAGAAGAACCGAAGTGATTCTGCGGACTGCCTGAAGAATCCTAGAGCTAAACTCTAGATACAAAAGCTCCGAGCTGCGAGCACCCCATCTGTATATGTATGCAGGACTTCGTGATTTCCATTGCCTCGACAGCTGAATCATGATTCGACTCAAACGCGTACTACTGCTATTCCTGTGCACCCATGCCTTTTGGGCTGCAGGGTGGAATTGCTGAAGGAATGCTCTAATGGAGAAACTCTAGAGGTGAGGATGATGAATGTGATCTACTGTGTAGCGACTGAATCAGCCTGCCTTCAAAATTAACACTGAGATCCTCTAGAGACGATGCATCCTCTGCAGGCCTGCCTTTTGATCTGGAAAAGAGCCGGAACGATCTAACTCGAGAATGTCGTGGTTGAGCTTTAGGTTGCAGTTTTGAGGGACTGAGACATCCAGTCCAAGCCTTCGTAGAGTCCCTCTCCACTTGCGGCGCAGCAATTTTGAATGTACCAAGTGGTCTGCCTCAAGCTTGCAAGCTGCAGCTTGTCGGTCACTTCGGATACCGACATGGCGGTCGGAAGGTCGCTTTTGTTGGACAGCACCAACAACGTGACGTGCGCCAGCTCGGGGTCGTTGAGCAGCTTGTGCAGTTCATCTCTTGCCTCGAGGATTCTGTCTTTGTCAGCACAATCTACCACAAAGATCAATCCCTGCACAGACAGAATCATGCACACAGAATGAGAAAAAGATAAGAATCGATGCATAGTCGAATTCTCGCACCCGATGACAAATACAGCGTCCACAAGTATTTAGATATGTAAATGTTGAAGGAATTCGAATACCCGTCCTCGGACTTCCTTCAACTCTGGAAAGAGTAATGTTCCTGACGTACCAGAATATATCTGTTCTCAAACTCACATGGGCGCTGGCTGTCCCCATCCTGGTCTGTCCGACAAAGTATTTGTCCTACTTGAGCTGATTCATACCAAACCAAATAAAAGCAAGTCTCACAGCTTGTAGATCGATGAGGGACTCTTGTCAAGTGGCAGACCAGAGGTAGACGAAAATGGTCAGCCAGAGCTTCGAAGTGTGAAGTGAGTCGATCAGTGCAGATACTACCGAAACGTAATCGGTTGACAGGAGATTTCAGCTTACTGTTGATTTAGAAGATTCAGGAACTGTGGTGGTAGCCAGATCGAATCGCTGAATGTGAAGTTTAGAGCAGAAATTGCAAGTAGAAAAGATTTCATGCCCAAAGGCGTATGTCAGGTGAGCAAAGCCCGGCATAAAAGCTCTGTGCTGCCCACAGAGATCGGAATGATGGGCTCCACGTAGTCACGAGACAGAGCCGATTCGTCCTCATCTATGATGGATAACAGGAACTAAACTCTGTGTCAGTTGAATAAGTTGGTGGAGTAGACCAACCTGAGTACCAGAGAAGTAGTGTTTCCAGAGCAGTCGAATCTTGTCTTGACCGCCAACGTCCCACACTGTGAAATTGACGTTCTTGTACTGCACGGTTTCCACGTTGAAGCCTATTGTTGGTATCGAGCAGACTTTCTCCCCAAGCTTTAATTTGTAAAGCACGGTAGTTTTCCCTGTCGTCACATATGATCACAGTTTTATGATAAATTCCGAAGAACCTAGATTTGCCAGCAGAAATTCACAAAGTGATCGGTAGCACTGTTTGTGACTATGTCATTCCACATGGCTGAATCTGAGCTGCCCTCGACGAGTTTTAGATAATGATGGTAGTTGACTGACAACAATGATGCCGGAACAGATCTTTAATGCTAAAGAAGAAGAAGAAGAAGAAGAAGGCTGGAAGCACCTGTGAAGTCGTGATTAGCAGATGCAATTAAACACATTCTAAGGTGCACATGTGCAAGATTCAAAATCGAGATTCAGTAATGTATGTCTGCATAACGTGATTTCCCGATCTGTCCTTGAATTGTACCAATCAGCCGTAGATCGGATTTTTTGAAAGGGAGCAGGTTTGACATTTAGACCGAAATCGAAGGGGCAACCTCTTCAGTAGAAAGTGCGCCAAGAGGAGAGAGTACCGACCTGCTGCATCTAGGCCTAACATGAGGATTCTGAGCTCCTTCTGCCCAAAAGACTGCGAGAGTCTGTCGATGAGACTAGCTAGAATCTGCCCCATTTGACAAGATCGCTATCGATCTGAATGAACCCTTTGGTGTCTTCTCCCAGACTTGACAGATCTCAGATCTCTGTCCGATTGAAGATGGTAAGAATAAGCTGCGCTGAGTCTCAATCTTCCATCAGAATGAGAGAAGAGGGACCAAAGGATATCTCACTAAACAAGGAATGTGAGATTTCCAAATTCTCAACTTCTTTATAGCAGGCCACCATTCAAGCATGTAATACACGAACCTCTGCACGAACTACAGAGGTCCGCAAAAGCTTTCTTTGTCGTGTGGGACCCTGCAGCGGGCCCATGTTATGCAGTTGAAACAAGTAGGAACTTGCAACAGTCACAGACCTGCATCTCTATTTTCAGAGATGCAGCGGTCAGCCATGGGCCCAAGTAAAAGGGAAATCAAGGAACCAATGCAAGCAGTCCCGCCTTTGGGGGCGGCGTCCATTTGACGCTCCACAAGCAGGTCTTAGCTCTGTCGAGCATCTTCTCATGCTCACGGAGCCAGCTTTCATACTCTCAGAGCTTGGGAGATGCTGTACAAAAATCTACCTACCGCAACTATGCCGGACTAAACTTGCATTATACTCGCACATCATCAATTGTCAAGAAGCCGTGTAGCGCGAGACTGAATCTGTATCTTGAAGAATTTTCAGCTGATGAGTTGGGTGTCGGAGCACTTTCCTTGACATGGAATCATGATTACTGCGTATGCTGACACCTCCCGTGAAGCACGTACACAGACAAACTTCGAGCTCTCTAACCTGTACAGCGCACAGATCTGCGTGGTTCGTGGCATATTGGACAGAGAGAAGATGAAGTAGTAAAGGAGTAGATGAGGTTGACATTTCCAGATTTAAATCTGAGGAAAATGTTAAAGTGGCAGGTGTACTGATACGTCACGATGACGTTGTTCTTTTGATAATCAAACCATTTCTCAATGTTCGCTTTGAAACAAGGAACACTTTCTAGATCATACATAAGTTGAAATTACGTAGATCTAATCCCAGCGAATGTGGGTGTGTGAACTTTGTACAATTTCGTGGGAGGTGGACAATATTTCATGCTCATTAACAAGTCACTCGTTTGAACGATACTCATTCAATTTGTTGTGAAGAAATCTCAGAGTCTCACCATAGCAATAGTTCAGCGACAGTGAATAGTAATCATGTTAAGGCTTACCTTTGTGGCTAAAGAGTCATCATACATGGTATGTCCAGGGTCGAAATTGAGCATGATAATTGTATGCATTGCTCTCCAATATGTAACGCAATCATAGCGAGAAGTTCACCTTGCCAGAAATTATTCTGGAGGTACTGTTCGCATCTAGGGAGGTGGAGGTAACATTTCAGTTGAATTCGAGTTAGTTTTAATTCAAGTATGGGGAATGCTAGTTAGAGAATTGTGACCTCAACACTGTTGGTAATATCCCACCTCTGTGGAAAGTAGAGTAGTGGGAATGAATGGCAGGTTCTAAAGCGCATATACTACCTGCTGTCGTATAAAGATCATCCATATGGATCTCCATATAATAGAAACTGTGAGACACTCTTCATTACCAAAACTGAAGTTTCATCATGCAAAGGAACCCTTTGTCCCTTTCTTTTCCTTTATTTTACTTTGTTAGACATTATTGAGGTCCCTCTAATTCCATGTGTGCGCTTCATTCAAGTCAGTTGCTTCCAAATTATTGCCTCTAATCAGAAGCAATTATTGGGAGTTTATGAATAATATGGGCGAATTTTATTATTTCCTTAAAGTAGCCTGTGTGCTTCGCTTTTTTTCCAACAAGCTTTGTAATCATGCCCAGCCTAAGCCCCTGCGATGCACACGGGTCCGCTCAAGAGCATGCTCATCCCATACCGCATGTCCCAGGTAGAAGAGGACACGAACTCTGCCTTCCTGACCATTAGAGGCCGAGAGTGTCGGTGATGTGATACTTTTTATGGAGTAGCTTCATCACGCTCCTACCGTTCGTGGACCTTGCTTGCCAACAAACTGAGGAACACAGTGCACACCTTGAGCTGGTTCTGTACACAACTCTACAAGTACCATTGAAATGCCCGACCAGACTGTTGCTCTCTCGACTTTCAGTTCGGTTCTCTTGTAAGAACAGCGGATCTATCAACCGAATGCTAAGCGTCGGTCAAATTGAGTCTTGTAAGTCGGCAGTACCGTAAGGTAGGCGAGAAAATGAGCTGCACAAAGCTTTGAGAATACAAACGACTGATTGTAGGAGAAGATTCATGAACTAGTTAGTACCTTCACGTCTCCCGAGTATAAGGATGGATCCTGACGATTTATTGTTTAGAAAATCGAAAGTTTCTAGTTGTTTAGAAATTTAAGGTGAATTTGTCTGGATCTCCACCACTGAAAATAAAATCCTGGCAGTTTCAGTAATGCAGCCAAAACAACACATCCGAAGTGCCAAGAAAGATAATAGACGGCCCTGTATCACCAACCTGTCCGACGCAACGCAATCTTTATGCCGAGAATGACAGAGGAATTGTTCCTTCCAAGCCTGCGATAAATGCCGACGACGCTCGCATCAGGTATCGAGAAATTATGTTTGAATGTGCATCTTCTGAGAGCACACACGTCGTTTGGGTGCCATATGAACACTCTGGTCCTTAGGCCTTATTGGAATCGGAGTTCAAAGACTTTATCTTGTCCTCACCATGTTTGCAACCTTTTTTTCTATATCGAACAATTTTCTCCACATTCTGATTGTTCACGACTTAGTCACTATCCAACTGCGTACTTATAGTTCGGAGCAAGTTTGGATGGGTGCCGATCGAGTATTGTCTCGGAGGGCATCATCCTCTCGTATCTCAGTCGTACACGACATAAGGATCAACAGGTTACATTGACGACCAATTACATCCCTTCCCACATACTGTACTGATCGCAGCTCTTTAGCCCCGCCGAGTATGAAGGCAGTGAGTTTGCTAATTTATCAAGGGAATCTGACTAATTATTCAGAAAGGATTTCTAGATCCATCAAGGAATTCATGGATGAATCCATATCGGCAAGTCACCACAAGAGAGAACGGAGAACCAACCAGCCTTTACTCCACCTCGTTGGTGGGAGCTTCTACGAACAACGACAACTGTTCGTATCCCATGTACAGTCACGTTGATTGCACACAGACAGAAGAAGAAAGTACGCACAATTTGTTAGTATAATGATTATGCGCAAATATCTTCCATCCAACTCATGAAACCTTAGTTCTTTCCACATATACCGTCTTTTTTTTCTGGTCAGATCGAGATTCAAGCGTGTGAGTTCAACTCTAGCTTGCTGAATCTCTAATGCATGTGGTGAAACCAGAACGGAGAATTCTAGCTGGATGACGCTACTTGCTGCTATGCTACCGAGTTCTGAGCTCCATATATCATGGTCCCCACACTGTAAGTTTGTAAGTATGCTGAAGATGATAACTGCGGAGGAAGACCTACGCAGTTCATCTTCTTTTGCAAATATGGGTGTACGTGGTGTGACCATGGAGTTTCCCAAGATCAGAATGACAGACGAATGGTCACGTGTACTGAAAACTGGAGTGATGTAAGTAAGTTTGGTTTCTTCATTTCTGCACGTTTGTCATTAGACGGGACAAGCTGAAATGTAAATGGAATTCTGACTACCGTTAGTAGCAAAATTCCATGTGGAGGATGTGATGTCCCAGGTCAAGCAGCTGCCCACAGAATGAGTTTCGAGCCTACCCGTTGCAAGAAAAAGTATATACAGCTTTACAAATCTTATTCTAAAGCCTGCAACCACACCGAGAGGGAATACCCACGCGAATGACGTTCATCAGAAAATGGACTCGGTGGTGCAAGTTGGAGCATTGGGTGGTAAGGATGGTGCGAAACATAAGGTTGGCCGGGGAATTGAGGCGGTCGTGTAAGGTGATTATTGGGCATTTCACCAACATTCAAATATGCGAAAACATGGTGGTGAAAACATGGCGTGAACTGTAATGACATAAATACAATGGCGGGGATTAACAGCAATGTAACACTCCTTCCCTGAATATAATCTCGTTTGTAGCGTTAAAGTTTTAACGCTACAAACGAGATGCTAAACGCTGGATGTTTGCTTGTTGACTGGTATTTGAGAAAGTATTTTTGCCGTTGGGGCCTCAAAGTATCATCTAGATCCGCACATACGGTTAAAGATGGAGGTTCGTTTTATAGAAACCTCGTTGAGAAAATACAGCCATTGGAGGCTTCGTCATATCTAGCAACATCACCTGACTCCACATGTACGTTGCGATAACTTGAGCTAATCTCTTAACAGATTGATTTGTTGGTGTTCTAGAACATGAAGTACGTCAACGGCTCCATATACGATTTCAGTTTTGGTTGGTGGGAATTTTAGGTCATGTAGTCTTTGATATATCTGCAATCGGTGTTGTTAGGTCTCTGTCACGTGCTGAGTGTGTCTAAATATTTTACAGATTTCATACAAAAAGAATTGACAATCCTATACATCTTGAATTTTTTCTTATGATTTTATGATTTTAGTGACGTAGAAATTCGATCGAGGTGTATATATAGAAAGCTAATGATATCTTTAATGGAGAGTAAATTTGTTTGCACACAACAGAGCAGCCTTTTGCTTCAGAAGTTTAATTTTAACTTAGAAGTAGATTTTAAGCAAAGTTGAGTTTTTGATTATAAGCAGATTCTAAGTATAATGATTCTTCAAACTTTTTTCTCGTTCTAGGATATTCACTCATGATACTTTGAAAAGCCTTCTATACTTTTGAATCTTCGTATCAGTCACTTGATTTTGCCGAAGTGGACACATGTCATGTCGAATGACAAGACTGAACCTTCGCGGCCTTCGGCTCTGTAATTTGTTAGCTACAGCAGGTTATTCTGGTCCAATCCAATCTGGTAAATTGAGCATGTAATCTTGTGATGTTGACTTGCACAAACGTTCAGTAATGAATAAGTCATAGTCACTATAAATCCATCAAAATCTCCTAACGAATGATATCCCTTGTTTCCTTTCTGTAAGTTTTTTTCACTTGATGGCAAATATTATCATCTTCCTAATAACTGCCCAACTGAGAGTGATCGAAGGCATCGAAGTTCAAAACTACTTTCGCATCGTTGACCAAACTGTCACTCGTTGACGGCTGTCACTTACT